AAGACTATAGGTTATTCTTTCAAATTATATTATATTTTTTATTCAAGATAAATTCCCAAGCAACAGAGGAGTATGAGGAAAACTACAAGTGGAGTATTTATTGCCTGTCACTCAGCAGGTTATCCCACAGCAGATCAACTTTCTCCCATCATTTGTCATTCACCTCTTCTCCAGGACATTTTGCCACAAATATTTCCTTGGATAATGTTTGCTTGGTGGGAGGAAACATTTCTTGAATTGCAGAAATAGACAGAGAAACCATTACCATGCAATCACCCTCAAAGCAAGGCAAGTGAAAGTCAGTGGTCTTGACTGCTGAGTTTCCTGTCTTACAAACCTGAGAAATAGATAGAAACTGAGGGGAAATCCCAGAATAATCTGTGGGTGACCATGTGGTCAAAGCCTGATGCCGAGTGTACACTGACTACTTCATCTCTTTGTATAATGAATGGTTCTAGCCTGGTTACAAGAACAAAGTGAGCCTCCCAGAGTCATGCAGGAACTCAGTGACTTGACGACCCAGGGCAGCTTCCACTCAAGTTAGGTCTACTTTATTTGGTATCCTCAACCCCAAGACCATATTGTTATCACTTCAGTTGCATAGGTGCCAAATCCCAGTACTGGAAAGAGGTGGTCATCATTTATTTCCACTCACCAAATTTGGGGATCCATTGTCTGATGCTCCTCTTTCTAAGCAGACTCTGTTTTATTCTTCTGCCTTCACAGGTTGTGAATAACAGAAAGATAACCCCCAAGTCCACTGTCCAACTGTTAGCAAATGGATTATAGGAGGAACAATGTTAAAGCAGTAACCTATCAAGCGAAAAGAGAATTGGAGCCAGTTAACTTGTTTGTTTGTTTTTATCAAAAAATAAATCTAATGAATTATTATATATTAATCAAGAAATCACTAAATCTTGCACAACTAAATTTTATTCTGGACCCACATACATTAGTAAATTATTACAAGAAATTAACTTAAAAATAATTGACCATATGTTAGACTAGAAACCTCTAGATACCAATCTCTTCTTTACTTTTGTCATGATGAAGCCCCTTCTTGATCATACATCATTTGACACAATTAACTATCTTACAAAACACGCACACACACAAATTAAAAGAATGATTAATGAAGATTTTTCAAAATGTGGACCCTCAATAAAATATTAAAACTTCAACTTGAAAGAAAATTTGCCGTCTTACCTTTCCCATCAGCAAAATTATTTTTCTTTCTTTTTTATTTGTCTTATAAAAAGAATATCCAGTGCTTACAAAGATACAAGCCTGAAAATGGTGCCAAAAAAAGACATTCTGGCAAGGTGATTATTGGAGATTTAAGTGTTAACCGTTTTAGGATATCATTTCCAGTATGCAAACAGAATCTTAGAGGGTTTATATCATTTAACCATTTACATTACTTTTAGAAAACTATCATGATGTAACTACTAAAATAACCTAATGAATATTTTATATAATTTATTATCTTAACAGTATTTCTGAAAGAAAAACTGGGAACATCTGAAACTTCAAGAAACTTGAGAGGAGTTAGAGAATTTATGATACATTGAGACAATGGATTAATATGAATCCATTTAAAATGAAACACCTAGAGTGTTGTCAGCAAAATGATTGAGTAGGGAGCTCTGAGGTCTCCCATGGAAACAGAAGGAACCAACCACAAACTACCTGAAATAACCTTATACGAGCACTGGAAAACAGTCAAAAAAATTCTACAGCAACAAAATGAAAACTCCGTTAGGAAAAAGCCAGTTTAACAATGGTAGGAAATTTCAACATGTTTTTCCTTACCCTTCTCATCTGTCTGCAGGGTAAAATGCAGGTGTGGTCTCTAAGAGGTATCAGCGCGGTTCCCACTTACCTCTCTCTCTCAAACCAAATTGATCACAGAAGATATTATTTACAATGTTCTAAGCTATTTGGGGGCTGCCAGAGTCTCTGCTGTCTGTTTCACCTAACACTAAGCTTGAACAGAAAATCAGCAGGAATGGCTTACTGTAGTTGCAGAGGGACTATAGATGCACAGATGCCAGGGGTAAAATATTAAGGGTGGAAATATAGAATAGACCATTTAAGCCCTGAGGAGAAGCTGAGGTGTGAATTTGGGGGATATTAAGGCATTCAACAAGCAGCCACTGGAATTAAAAAAGCTACACAGAGGCCAGGAAAGATGCATGCTCAGAAAAGAACTGAATATACCTTAAGATTTCATGTTGGGATGATCCCGAGACTAGTAGCATGCCAAGCTGATAAGTGAAGGACTGTCATCACACAGAACAAATCTGCAAAGAGTGGGAGAGGTGGCTGTTTTTTAAAATGCCCAATTAAACTCACTCATACAAACGACTTTACCAAAAAAACAAACAATAAAACATGATTCATTAAGAAGAAGAAAATTAATTGGCAGACACATTTCCTGAAGAAGCATAAGCATTGGACTTAGTAGACAAAGAGTTCTAAAATCATTGTCTTATGTTGAAATTGGTGATCAAAATTTGACAAAGAACTAAAGGAAATAAGGTAAATCATATAAGAATAAAATGATAATATAAAAATATATAGAAATTATGGAGTGTAAGGAACAGAAAGAAAAAAATGAAGAAATTTGTGCAGACCCTAAAGGAGAATTAGGACATCCTCATGTGAACTATGTACATACTATCAGAGTCACAGAAGGAGAAGAGGCAAAGAATGGCACAGAGAGATTATTTAAAGAAATAATGAACAAAAACTCCCTAAACTGAATTTTTCATTAATAATCAACACATCCAGAAACTCAAAGAATTACAGGTAGGATAAACACAAAGATATACACACCCACATACATTATATTCAAACTGTTGAAAGACAAAGAGAAGAGACTATCTTGAAGCAGCAAAGGAAACATGACTCATCAGGTACAAGGGATCTTGGGAAATATTATCAACTGATTTTTAATCAGAAACCAGGAGTTCATAAAGCAGTGAGATGATGTATTTAAAGTGCTGAAAGAAAAAGAAAAACATGTCAACCAAAAATCTATATGAGATAAATATGTCCTTCAAAAATGATGCAGTAATTAATATAATCTCAGCTAAACTAGAGCTAAAATAGTTCATTGCTATTAGAGCTATCCTACAAGAGATGTAAAGGGAGGCATTCATGTTCAATGAAAGGACACTTAACTGTAACTCAAAGCCACCTGAACACATAAAGACCTCCAGTGAAGGCAAATATATGGACAAATATAAAATCATGTACTTTCATAATTTTGGATTGTAACTCCACTTCTTCATTTCTACAAAATTTAAAAGATGCAGGCATGTACACAATGTATAAAGGTGAAATTAGTGACATCAATGACATTAATTGAGAGAAGGGAACAGAGCTTTATGGGAGTAGAGTTTTTGCATGACATTGCAGTTAAATTAGTATCGATTCAAAATAGAGTGTTATAACTTTACAATGTTATCTGTAATCCCCATGTTAACCACAAAGAAAATGACAATAAAATATGCACACTTGAAAATGTGAAGGAAAGCAAAACATGTCACTACCAAAAAATTTCTAAACACAAAGGAAGGTAGTAATGGAGGAAATAAGAGACTTAAGTTGTATAGAAAAAAAGTATATATATATATATATATGTCTTTCCTGATCACTAATTGCTTTAAATGTAAATAAACTTCCCCAATCAAAAGCAATAGATTGGCAGAATGGATTAACAAAACAAGATCGTGTGATGTCAGCATCATGGCAGAGTGAGCTGTTCCTTTAGTCACTTTCCTATAAGATACAATGAAAAGGACATTCATTAACCAAAAGAGGTCATCCACACTGTACAATAGATGTCTCAGACATCCACACAGCCCTCTGTCTGAAGGTGGGGGTGCTGGATCTCCAGGAGTATGTGGAAGGAGTTAAGTTGGTCTCCTCCCCCTCCCCAGTGGCAGCAATCAAGGGTACTGGACTTCTTATAGTGGCCAGCACACAACTCTGAGAGAAGAAGTGGGAAAAGGCAGCCATCTACAGAAACAGTTTTGCTCTTAGAGTTGCATCCCAGCCCACATGAGCTCCACACCAAGACAGCTAAGTCACTGTGCAGGGGCCCTCACAAAGCCAAGCAGCCAAGGCAGGCTGCCACTGAGTCCATAGTGGGAGTGTGGGCAGGAAAGAAGACACCCCGTCCCCTCCCATACAGCGTCACACAACAGCTTGTCTGGTTGGCCAGGGCAGTGATGCCCAACAGATCACCTGTGCCAGCATGTGTGAAGCAATGGTGGCCATATGAAGAGACCACTATCAGCACAACTTCCAACAGACAGGCACAATTGCCAGGGGATGCAGCAGATTCAGAAAACGCAGCTCTTTCCCCCCAAGAGGTGGCATATAGAACCTTCAACCAGATACTGCCACTCCGTGCCAGCAAATGTCCACCCCATGAATCAGAAGGATGAAATACATTAACAATCAACATCAGAAAAAAATGACAAACATCCAGAAACCAATCCTGAAGTCACAGAAATTTACAATCTAACTGACAGAGAATTCAAAATAGTTATCACAAAGAAACTCAATGCCTTACAAGAAAACTCAGAAAGACAGTTCAATGAATTCAGGATTAAAATTAATGAGCAGAGAGAATTCTTCAAAAAGAGATTGAAACTCTAGAAAAAACCAAACAGAAATGTTGGAGATGAAAAACACAATGAATGAGATTTATAGAAATCTGAAATCCTTAAAAAACAGAACTAGCATCATGGAGGACAGAATTACTAATTTAAAGTACAGAAATATAGAAATGCTTCAGGTGGAGGAGGAAAGAGAAGTAACACTAAAAGAAATGAAGAAATTCTCCAAGAAATATCTGCCCCAGTTGGGAAATGCAACATAAGGATTACAGGTATTCCTGAGTGAGGAGTGAGGGAGAAAGTAAGAGAGAGCTTGTTCAAAGAAATAACAGCTGAGAACTTCTAAACCCTGGGGAAGGAGCTGAATTACATGTAAATGAAGGTGATAGAACTCCTAATTACATCAATGTATAAAGATCTTCTCTAAGGCATATGTTAGTAAAACTGGCAAAAGTCTGACAAAAAAAATATTAAGGACAGCAAGGCAGAGGAAAATAACTTACAAAGGAACCTCTCTCAGGGTATCAGTTGATTTCTCAGCAGAAACAGTTACAGGCTAGGATAGAGTGGATTGAGATATTCAAAATATGGAAAGACAAAAGCTTTCAGCCAAAAATATTGTATCCAGCAAAATTATCCTCAAGATATGATGGAGAAATAAAAACTTTCCCAGATAAACAATACCTGAGGGAGTTCATCACCACAAGAACCCCCTACACAAAATGATCAAGAAGGCCCACCGACTTGCAAAAAAAGAGAAAGAATTTACAAAACCTTAAGCAAGGAGGTAAATAGAGAGACAAAATCAGAAAATTGTAGCTATCTTTCAGAACAGGTTAGCAAACACTTCATTATAACATAAAATATAAAGGGAAGGAAAGCATCAAAAATATCTATAATCACTGCATTTCAATCACAAACTTACAGCACAAAATGGAAAAGTTGTGGCAACAAAAACTTAGATGGGGAAGAGGAAAGGGATGGAACCACCTTAGACCACAGGGATAAGAGCCTATCAGAAAATGGACTATCTCATCTACAAGATCCTTTACAAACCTCACAGTAACCACTAAATGAAAAATCAGGAGAGACCCAAATGATAAATAAGAGAAAATCATAAGCGAAAATCACCAAACTGACACGGCAGTTGGAAATACACAGGATGAGAAACAAAGGAAATACAGAAAAACCAGAAAATAAGAGGTAAAATGACAGTATTATGCCCTCATATATCAATAATCGCTCTAAATGAAAATTGATTGAAGTCTCCAAACAAAAGACACAGAGTGGCAGGATGGATTAAAAATCAAGAGCAACAATACACTGCCTCCAGGAAACACATCAGCTTTAAAGATAAACACAGGCTCAGAGTAAAGGGATGGAAGAAGATACTCCAAGTTAATGACAAACAAAAGAAAGTAGGTGTTGCCATGCTTATTTCAGACAAACTAGACATTAAGTTAAAAAAGGCAGTGAGAGACAAAAAGGAATAGTATAGAATGATGAAAGGGACACTCCACCAAGAGGACATAACACTTCTAAATGTATATGCACCCAACATAGGAGCACCAAAGTACAAAAAGCAACTACTAACAGACCTAAAAGGAGAAATTAACAACAATAGAGTAATAGTAGGGGATCTCAACACCCCACTTACATCAATGGATAGATCATTCAGACAGAAAGTCAACAAGGAAATAGGGAAATTAAACAAAAATCTAGACAAGATGGACTTAATAAGTATAAGAAGAACACTCCATCCAAAAACAGCAGAATACACATTCTTCTCAAGTGGACATGGAACATTCTCAAAGATAGACCATATGTTGGGAAACAAGGCAAGTCTCAAGAAATTTAAGAAGATTGAAATCATATCAAGCATATTTTCAGACCATAATGCTAAGAAACAAGAAACCAACTACAAGAAAAAAGTTTTTAAAGTGACAAACATGTGGAGACTAAACAACATGCTACTGAACAACCAATGGATCAATGAAGAAATTAAAGGACAAATCAAAAAATATCTGGAGGCAAATAAAAATGAAAATATACCATACTAATTCATACGGGATGCAGAAGCAGTGGCCCAAAGGGGAAATTCAAAGCCATACAGGCCTACCTCCACAAACAAGGAAAATCTCAAATATGAATCTTAAAGTACACCTAACAGAACTAGAAAAAAAAGATCAAACAAATACCAAAGTCAGCAGACAGAAGGGAACAACAAAAATTAGAGCAGAAATAAATAAAATAGAAACCAAAAAAAAAAAAAAAAAACAGTGGAGAGGATCAATAAAACTAAGAGCTAGTTCTTTGAGAAGATAAACAAAATTGGCAAACCCTTAGCCAAACTCATGAGGAAAAAAAGAGACAGGTCAAATAAATAAAATTAGAAATGAAAAAAGAGAAATTACAATAGATACCACAGAAATACAAGGATTATAAGAGAATACTATGAAAAACTATAGGCCAACAAATCTGACAACCTCGCACAACTGGATAAATTCTTAGGCCGATACAACCTCCCAAAACTGAATCAAGAAGAAATGGATAATCTGAATAGACCAATCACAAGTAGAGAGATTGAAACAGTAACCAAAAACCTCCCCAAATATAAAAGTCTGGAACCAGATTGCTTCTCTGGAGAATTCTACCAAACATTCAAAAAAGATTTAATACCTATCCTTCTCAAATTATTCCAAAAACTTGAAGAAGATGGAACACTTCCTAACTCATTCTATGAGGCCAACATCACCCTGATACCAATGCCAGACAAAGACAATACAAAAAAGTAAAATTATAGGCCAATATTGCTGATGAACATAAATGCAAAAATCCTAAACAAAATATTGGCAAACCGAATACAGCAATATATTAAAAGGATCATACACCATGATCAAGTGGGATTTATACCAGGGACACTAGAATGCTTCAACATCTGCAAATCAATCAATATGATATACCACATTAACAAAATGAGGAATAAAAATCACATGATCATCTTAAAAGATGCAGAAAAAGCATTTGACAAGATCCAACATCCGTTTTTGATAAAAACTCTCAACAAAATGGGTTTGAAAGAGGGGCCAGCCTGGTGGTGTAGTGGCTAAGTTTGTGTGCTCCTCTTCAGTGGCCCTGGGTTCATGGGTTTGGGTCTCAGGCACAGACCTATACACCACTCCTCAAGAAATGCTGTGGCAGCGCCCCACATGCAAAATAGAGGAAGATTGGCACAGATCTTAGCTCAGCGACAATCTTCCTCAAGCAAAAAATAGAAAATTGGCAACAGATGTTAGCTCATAGCCAATCTTCTTCACTAAAAAAAAAAAAAAAAATGAGTTTGAGGAAAGTACCTCAACAAAATAAAGGACATATATGGCAAATTGACAGTAAACATCATACTGAACAGTGAAAAACTGAAAGCCATCCATCTGAGAACAGGAAAAGATGATGGTGCCCACTCTCACCACTTCTATTCAACATGGTAATGGAGGTTGTGACCAGAGTAATTAGGCATGAGAAAAAAATAAAAGGAATCCATATTGGAAAGGAAGAAATTAAACTCTCACTGTTTGCAGATGACATGATTCTATATAGAGAAAACCCTAAAGAATGCACCAGAAAACTATTAGAAATAATCAACAACCACAGCAAAGATGCAGGGTACAAAATCAACTTACAAAAATCAGTTGTATTTCTACACGCTAATAATGAACTAGCAGAAAGAGAACTTAAGAGTACAATCCGGTTTACAATCACAACAAAAAGAAGAAAATATATAGGAATAAATTTAATCAAGGAGATGAAGGACCTATACACTGAAACCTATGAGATATTATTGAAAGAAATTGAAGAAGACATAAAGATACAGAAAGATATTCCCTTCTCATGGATTGGAAGAATAAACATAGTTAAAATGTCCATATAAACTAAAGAAATCTTCAGATTCAATGCATTCCCAACCAGAATCCCAATGATGTTCTTCACAGAAAGAGAACAAAGAATCCTAAAATTTCTATGGAACAACAAAAGTCCCTGAATAGCCATAGCAATCCTAAGAAAAAATAATAAAGCTGGAGACATCACAATTCCTGACTTTAAAGTAGACTACAAATCTATAGTAATCAAAACAGCATGGTACTGGTACAAAAAACAGAAACACAGATCAACAGAGCAAATTTCAAAGCCAGAAATAAAATCACACATACACGGACAGCTATTCTTCAACAAAGGAACAGGACATAACAATGGAGAAAGGAAAGTCTCTTTAATAGCTGGTGTTGGGAAAACTGGACAGCCACATGCTAAAGAATTAAACTAGACCAATATCTTATGCCATACACATAAATTAACTCAAATTGGATTAAAGGATTGAAGGTAATATGTCAAACCACAAAAATCCTGGAAGAAAATATAGGAAGTACACTCTTTGTCATCATTCTTAGAATCATCTTTTTGAAAACCATATCAACTCGATCAAGGGAAACAAAAGAAAAGGCAAACAAATGGAACTACATCAGACTAAAGAGCTTCTTCAAAGCAAAGGAAACCAGGGACAAAATGAAAAGACAACCTACCAACTGGGAAAAATTATTTTCGAATCAGATATCTAACTAGGGGTGAATCTCCAAAATGTATAAAGAACTCATACAACTCAACAACAAATAAACAAAAAAACAGATCAAAAAAGTGGGCAGAGGAGATGAACAGGCATTTTTCCAAAGAAGATATACAAATGGCAAATAGGTACATGAAAACATGTTCAACATAACTAATCATTAGGGAAACGCAAATCAAAATTACGAGACATAGACTTACACCTGTCAGAATGGCTATAATCACCAAGACAAAAAATGACAAATGTTGGAGAGGATGTGAAGAAAAGGGAACCTCATACACTGCTGGTGGGAAAGCAAACTGGAGCAGCCATCAAGGAAATCAGTATGGAGATTTCTCAAAATATTAAAAATAGAAATACCTTATGACACAGTTATTCCACTACTGGATATTTATCTAAAGAACTGAAATCAACAATTCAAAGAGACTTATGCACTCCTATGTTCATTTCAGCGTTATTCACAATAGCCAAGTTGTGGAAATAACGCAAATGCCCGTCAACTGATGAATGGATAAAGTAGATGCAGTGTATATACATGCAATGAAATACTACTCAGCCGTAAAAAAGACAAAATCATCCCGTTTGCTGCAACATGGATGGACAGTGAGTGTATTATGTTAAGTGAAATAAGACAGACAGAGAAAGACAGTACTGTATGATTTCACTCATATTGTGGAAGATAAGCAGACACACAGACAAAGAGAACAGATTAGTGGTTACCAGACAGGAAAAGAGATGGGGGTGGACATAAGGAGAAAGTGGCACATATACATGGTGACTGAGAAATAATAATGTACACCTGAAATTTCAAAATATTATAAACTATTATGACCTCAATAAAATAATCTAAAAAAAAACAGGATCAAGTACATGTTCTCTATAAGAGATTCATTTTGCTCTAAGGACACAAATAGTTTGAAAGGGAAAGATGGTAAAAGATGTTCTATGTATCGAGTAACCAAGAGAAAGTTTGTGTGGCTATAAGAGTAAGAGATAAAAAAGTTTTAAGATAAAAATTGTGACAAGAGAAAAAAAGTATTTTACATATTGATAAAACAATCAATCCACCAAGAATTTAGAACAATTATAAACATATATGTACCAAAGATAAAAGCCCCAAAATATATAAAACCTACACTGACAGAATTGAAGGGGGAAATAGACACCACTATAAACCTAGTAGGAAACTTCAATCTGCCACTTTCAATAATGGATTAAAAAAACAGACAGAAGATCAATAAGGAAATAGAAAAGATACTACTGGGAATAATTGTACACCAACAAATTGAGAAATCCTCAAGAAATAGACAATTCCAAGAAATACATAACCTAAAACGCAGAATCATATAGGAATATGAAACCTGAGTAGACCTATAACTGTTAAGCACATTGAGTCTATAATTAAAAACCTCCCAACAAAGAAAAGCCCGGGACCAGATTACTCCATTAGTGATTTCCACCAACCCATTAAAGCAGGATTAACAACAATAATTCTTAACTCTTGCAAAAAACTGAAGAGGAGAGATCACTTCCTAACGCATCCTATGAGGCCAACATTACCTTCATACAAAACCAGGAACAGATACTACAAGAAAATAAAATAAAGACAAATATTCCGTATGGTTTGAGAATTAAAAATCCTCAAAAAATACTAGAAAACTGAATTCAGGAGCATGCCAAAAATTTATTTAACACCATGACGAAGTGGGATTCTTTTCTGGGATGCAAGGATTTTCCAACACACAAAAATTAGTAAATGCAATACACCACATTAACAGGATAAAGGAAAACCACATGATCATCTCAGTTGAGGAGGAAAAAGCACTTGACAAAACTCAACATGCTTTCATGAGAAAAAAACACTCAACAAACTAGAAAGAGAAAGAATCTTCCTCAACAGTACAATGCTCATATGTGTAAAACCCACAACTAACATCATACTTGACCAAGAAAGATTGAAAGTACTTCCTCTTAAGATCAATAATATGAAAATTTTGCCTGTTTTTGCCACTCATAATCAATGTAGAATTGGAAGTTCCAGTTGTAGAATAAGACAACAACAACAAAAAAATAATATGCATCCAAAATTGGAAGGAAGATGTAAAATTATCTCTGTTCCAGGATGACATCATCTTCTATGAGGAAAATCCTAAAGATCAAACAACAAAGTTTGGAACTAATAAAGAATTTCAACAAAGGTGCAGGATACAAAATCAACACAGAAAAATCAATTACATTTCTATTAACTAACAATGAATGATCCGAGCGGGAAGTTAAAAAACAATCTCACTTAGGATAGCACAAAAAAGAATAAAATACTTAGGAATAACTCGCCAAAGGAGGCAAAATTCTTATACAATCAAAATTACAAAATTATTCAAAGAAATCAAAGAAGATGAAATATATGAAAAGACAATCATGTTCATAAATGAAGAACTTAATATCAGGACGGCAACACTAACCAAAATGGTTGGCACATTCAATGGATTCCTTATATAAATATCTCGTCAGCCAGGTATAGCTCCTCTATTCTCACAGTGGATCCCCTGCACCCACATGTAATGACCCATTGAGAGCCACCAGGTTAGAAGTTCTAAGGATCATTCATGATCAGTGAGGAGGTTGTCCAGAATAGGGTGGCCCTAGTGACTACCTCAAATTGGGGAAGTTCAAGATTTGTCTCTTGATCTCAATTATAGAAACCACAAAAAGATGACACTGAGATCAAGTATATACTAGTTCGTATGC